TTCTTACAACAGATTTTTTATGTATTTCCCATTGAGTGGACAAACAAAGAAGCACTTTAAGCTTATTTCCAACATTCATGATTTATGACATAAATGTCTCAAGTCGATGAAATCTGATCTGACCACCAACCCACATGCCAACCACACACCGAAGTCACTTGATTCTACAATACAGAACTTCCATAGCGTAGAATATTCACCGGTTGACCAGTCGTGTTCGTAAAAAAAGCGACTTTTGAACTATCCCTTCTGGTGATTTGAAAAAAAGAACAGTTTAATTTTTGAAATAACAATTTTTTCTCTCTCCGAAAAAAAAAAATCCTCGGCCGAACATCCCAGATCTGAAGACCGGAGGCCCTCTCCTCTCCGGGCATTTCTTTCGCAGGCTGCTGGATGTGGTCCTAACTCCCCACCTTCTCCTATTCGGCGCTCCCTGTGTCCTGTCTGGGCAGGGGAGAGACCTCCGGTTGGTTCTCCTTTTTGTCGGAGGAGCTGCCGGAGTTCTCGGGCTGAGTGAGAGAAGGTGGTGGGCTTCCGAGGGCTGTGGTGGCAGTGCTTGTCTGAGTCGGATCTCCACATTGATTAGTTGATGGTGCATCTTCGGAGTTTTCAATTTTGGGGGTTAGGGTTGGGCGTTTCCTGCAGTGCTTTGCGGCTCTCGGGTGGTTGTGTTAGGATTCCGTCGTGGTTGTTGTGGGGCGTTGCTCTGGAGGTGGCCCTAACACCTCGTGTTTTCGGCGAGCTCTTAGACCGTCCTGGGACTGGCATCGCGACACTGGTGGCTCTCTGCTCCACTTCTCTGCGTGGTCGTCAAACTTGCCCTGTTTGCCATGGCAGGCAAAGGTGGGTGGACAGTGCCGGTGTTTGCGTTCTGGCGGACGTCACGGTCGGCTTTGCGACGGTCGGGGCGGTGGTCTGTGCCTTGGTTTTCCCCTATTTCCAAAATTCCTTGGTGTTGGTATTTTGGTTCCTCCGGTGACGACTCTGTGTCTGTACGGTGGCTTCGGAGTATGCGTGGGGGAAGCTGTGGTGTGGACCGGCCTAGGGTGGTCTATGCGGGTACTGGGGGAGGTTGTCGATGTCATTGGTCCGGGTCTTGTTAGTCCATTAGGGGAGTTTCGAGTCCCATTGTGTTGGGCCGTGTTTCGTGAACTTTTTCTCGGTAGGTTGCGTTGGGGTTGGCTCGATTCGTGGGGTGCTGGTGGCTCCTTTCTGGAGGGGAGGTCCATTGTTAGCTTAGAGTGTTCGTTTTTATTGTTGTTTGTGTTGCTCTGTTTTGTTAGAGTTTTGTGTTTTTTGTTTGTGTTTATTGGATTTTTTTAGTGTTTTTAGGTGTCGATTCTCCTGTTGGGAGTCGATTATTAATGTTATTATCCCAATTGAAATCTAGATTCTCCTGTTGGGAGTTAAGTATTCTCCTGTTGGGAGTTAGACTTTATTATCCCATGTGGGATCTAGATTCTCTGTTGGGAGTTTTTTTTATTATTGTGGGTGCATTGTGGTATTTAGACTCCTCCGGGATGTCCTCTCTAGATTCGGCTTTTGGCCGATCTCTATTTGTAATTATGTGTGTTAGTTATAAAATTCCTATCGTTTCGAAAAAAAAAAAAAA